GGAAAAAGTGGTGGGTTTTAGTTATATTTTGAAGATAGAGAGATCTAAAAATATTTGCGGACATAGATGAGATGTGCAAAGAAAAAAGGATCAAGCATTAGTTCAAGGTTTTGATCTAAGAAACTGGAACAAGAGAAATAGTAAGTGTTTCGTCTTTTCTAGGAGCTATACTTCACATCCTCCTACTGTCTGGCAAGTATTAATTGAAGTCAAGACGTAGAAGCATGGCTATCCATGTGGAGGCAATACGATGCAGGAGAAAGAGTAGGAAAAGAGTGCTATTTAGCTGCCACCTCTTCCGGGGGTTAGCCTCTGAGTCTCGCTCCTTTTCTACCTCCTCCTCTATTTTAAGTCCTTGTATCACCCAAATTTTGTGTGTCGAGTATTGTTTTGTATTTTTTTTAAAAAAACGGATGTTGAAAAACTATTAAATGCATTCCTTTGTGTCCTTAGGATCTTTTTGAGCAATTCAGGGTGATTTGAAAACTCTTTAAAAATGAATAAGAACTCTACTAGAAAGTGTATATTTCAAAGTCTCATTAAATATTGATTAAGCAACCACTACATACAGAACATGTATTGGTGGTTTAGAGAACAATGAAATTATAAAATTTAGACTTGAATTTTTTTAAAAGAAACACTTTCAAAACTGGGTTTTCATTCTCTTTCACAGTCATGCATAGACTACTTTCCCAACTACGGCCTAACGGAAGAGAGATTATCCATCTACTTTTGATAAAATCTAAATTCCTTAACATGACTTACGAGCCTTCATAATTCATCAGATTTCCACCTGCCTCTCAAGTTTTGTCTCCCATCCCCCTGCTCCCTGAACCATCTTGAACTTTCTTTAGCTCTAATATGTCTTGGCTCTCTGCCTCACCACCCCCAGCCTTGTGCGTGGTTGATTCCTCTACCTGGGACAAGCTTTTATACATTAACTTATTTTTTATTTATTTAGCAACTATCATGGAGCAAAGATAGGCATTTCTTTTTAAAAATGGAGCAAAGATAGGCATTTCTATTTAAAAATGCCTATTTTTAAATAGGCATTTCAAGCGTATTAAATAGTTTCTCGATTTCTGACAGTTCTCTCTATATCAGTAGCAACTCGAATTCGGTTTTCTTATGATTTCTCGCTGCAGCAATAGGGGCTACATTTCCACGTTCGCAACAAGTAGAGAGAGCCCCCTTCATTACCCTTCAGGAGAAATGGAATTGGATCATGTCTCTTTTCTAAAGACCCAATTGTTCAAAGCAAAATATTTTGAAATAGAGGAACTGGAAAATTCAGTTATTTTGCAATTATGAAAAAACAGGATACATTTCTGCTGTGATCAAGTCTCTCAATTCCTTTATTTTTTTTCATGGCAAAACTAATCTGATCAGTCCTTTCTTACTTTCTGTTTAATTTGCTATCTGATTTTCCAGTGGCAGATTTATTGACAAATATAGCAATATAAATACAAAGAAAGTTACACTGAAATATGATCTCTACACGCTTAATAACTAAGAATTTATATGTTTTAAAAAAAAAACTAGTGTCACATTACCTTCATGTGTAATGAGGCAGACCCACAAAATAAAACATCATTAGTTTATAGGTTTACTTTGCCAAAACCTTTTATTCATCCCTGATAACATTTTAGTTACAATTAAGTATATAGGTGTCAAATATCGCTACACAATTTTTTTTCTATGTTTTTATAGCCACGAGTAGGAGTAATATCAACTCCCCTTTCAGAATAAAGGGAAAAAACTCATTTTAAATATTTTACAAATATTGAGAACTGTACAAGTACTACTGTACAGAGATAGTGAGTTTTTAGTTCTGAATACCACTTCTCTTTTTGTTAATAGTCTTTCTCTTTTTTTCTTTGGTAAGCAACTGAATTTCAAAATACAGAAACTCTATTAAAAGTGTCTAACTTCAAGTTCTGTTTCAGTGTTTTAAATTTTTTTATTTTAAATTTCAGGCATCTTTTAAAAAGTTGGTAATTTTATTGCATTAATTACTTCTGTATTGTTGGGGAGGAAAATTTTTAATAAAAGAAGAAAACAGTTCATAGATAATCGATTTCATTAGAGATGAGAAAGAGCTCTTAAGGAAATGCTTATTTAGGAATCTCATTTAGTTGATTATCAATTTACTTCTAATCTGTTAGTATATGTTTGAAGGAAATAGAGTTCATGGAATTATTCAATCAGAAGATTAGCGGACACTTGTTCCTGCCATTGGTACAGTACAAAGGCCTCTGCAAGTGGAATCGGGAATGTGGGCTTCAAGTCTCAGGTCTGCTACCCACTCTCCATGTCACTGAAGCCACCTAAGAAAGTCCCTCAGCCTCTGAACATTAGTTTCTTATTTATAAAATTGGAGATAATGATGTTTTTCTTGTCAGCTTGTAATCAGGAATGTGATGTAGCTTATATGAAATGGCTTTGTAAACCAGTAACTACAAAAATAAATTACAATGTTTATCATGAGCTCAGAGATTGCCATAAGAGATTCTACAAAAAAATATTTTACTATGTATTTTGTGTTCTTTTTCCCTTTTCACCTGTATATGTGCCAAATCCTTCATTGGGTTATAAGATCCTTAAAGCCACAGTGAGCATACTATATCCTCTCATGTTATTCTCTGGATTACGCATAACTGGACACTCAAAGGCTTTATTGACAGATATTCTCTCTTCCTCCTCAGTTCCAATAACAAGGATATAGTCCCTACTGTCAAAACTCTCCTTTCACCTATTCTATGCCTAAACCTCTCTACTGGAATCCATGCCTATTTCCACATATTTTATCCTTGAGACTCATAGAGAATTGGCAGGTCGGCATTGACTAAACAAAAGCCTTTATGATTGTTACCAAACTCTAGCTGCAAGATAGAATCCTTGGTTCTCAGTCTAAATCTATCCAATCTAAATCTTTCAATCCAAAACAAACAGAATTAATTTGCATCCTTAGCCCAGGAAGAAAGGAGAAGTGCTTGCTGGCTCACTAAAGATTCCTAGAGCCAAAGAGTTCCAGATAAAGTCCATTCTTGCCTGGGCAACTGAGAGGAATTCAGTATATTAACATAAAATGGCTAGAGGAATATGGACAGAGAAGAACAGAAGGACACAGCTGGAGACACCAGCATCGAAATAAAGTGAAAGTAGAGTGTTCCCAAGGCACCGATATTTCCTTAGAAGACTGATGAGAGGCTCTGGTCTACCCTTGATGCTTAACAAAAAGTCTTTAATTTAATAGGTAAATTGGCATTAGCTCCTAACAAAACACCTTTAAAAGCTGAAGGGATGGTGACGAAGGGATAGCTACCTCCCAGTCTCCCTCCTTAGATCCTATAAATGTGCCTACCTGATCTGCCCTCTGCTCAAAGTAATTCTATATTCTCTTCATGAGATTTTTAATACGTGGGCCCAGTTTAACGCACCTTTTTAGGTTTAAAAGAGGGATATTTTTAGTGTGTGAGATGCCTCTCCCAGTCTTTGCTGATACGATGTGGCTTTCATTAAAGAGCCGTAGGAGAGCTCAGCAATGCTCAGGCTCCGGGTAAACACGTGTGCCCGCAGCCGGCTCCGGCACACCCTGCGTTTCAGCACCGCCGCCTCTGGATAGCGCCGTGCTGGCCGGCCCGGTCAGGGCCTCCCATCTTCACTCGTCCATCCCCAGCCCACTCGTTCTCCTCTTCTCCTCTTTTTCCTTCGGTGCCGGAGAAAAAGCACCCCCAACTTCTAACGTCTCCTCGATCCTGCTTCTAAAGTGACCTCCGCGTTCTCCCACAGGGTCTAAATACGCACGCCGCCGCGCCTTTGGGTCCTACCCGAGAGGCAGCGAAGCCGCGTTGTTTACCCACCCGTGGCCCGAGGTCTCCAACTGGCATCGATCACCTTCCTTTTGCCCCTGTTAATCCCAAACTAGCATCCAGGAGCCCCCGCTCGCTTCCTCTCTCTCCAAGCCCCAGAACCTCCAAGAAACAAACGGCGCGATGATGCTCTTCCCCCCACCCCGCCCCCGCCAACCTGCGCGCGCGCGGACACACACACCCCACAAGCACACGCACATTCATACACACACTCGGCACGCCGCAACCCTCCCGGGTGCCATCGCCACCCTGGGCAGAGCCTCAGTCAACTTGGGTCGCGATCCATCAACACCGGCGCGAGAAGGGCCGCCCGCAGAGGCCACCCCGCCCCCTCCCCTTCCTGGGCAGCAGGTCCTGGCAGCCGAGCCCCAGTTGGCCAGCCTCCCCGCCCCATTCATTCAGACATCCACCTCCTGCGGGCAAAACACCGTCCACCACCCTCAAACATTGCGTCCCTGGCCCGTCCCAACCATCAGCGAAACCCTTTAAGCCCCATCCCTGTTACTGGTGTGTGTGTGCGTGTGTGTGTGTGTGTGTGTGTGTGCGTGTGTGTGTGTCTCCGATGCATATACATCATTAACTCTTTCGTCTTTAAGCCCCATCCCTGTTACTGGTGTGTGTGTGTGTGTGTGTGTGTGTGTGTGCGCGCGTGTGTGTGTCTCCGATGCATATACATCATTTAACTCTTTCGAGCTTTTCGCCCATCCTAAACAAACAGCACGTTATCTCCAACCCCTTCCTCCTCCCTTCTCCGCGCCCCAACCTCTGCCCCCATCCCGATCCTCATCAGCCAAGTAGCCAAACCACCGCACAGCCGCACCCCAGTTCTCGAACCTCGACCTTCTACCCGGTTCAAACCAACACTCACCTCCAGCCCCTCCCCCCCTTCCCCCCACCTCTTGGTCCCCCGAGAGCCGGGTCTGGCCTGAGCGAGTGACGCTTCGAAAGCGCAGTCTGCGTCCCCTCCCAGGAGCCCGGAAGAGAGGGGATGACCTCCCACCAGCGGGCTCAGCCAGAACACCCCTCCGAGGGGCCACACGTCTTCCCATTCAGTCGCCCTGGAAAACACAGGTGCGGGGGAACGGAGAGAGGCGGAAGCAGCCTACGGCGGTGCGCGGGAGGACTCACCGAACATCTGAATGTGCCCTTTGGTGATGGGATTGAAGCTGCCGCAGGCAAGCAAGATAACATGGGTCTTGGTGGTCTCGGTCATGGTGCGGATGGGTCCCTCGCGCTGATCCAGGGGTCGCCTCCTTTTTGTGTCTCGATGTGTCTGCAGAAGGAGAAAGGAAGGCGAGGCTCCGGCGTTGGATGCTGTGGACTCCAAGGAGCCGCTCCAGACGCAAACCGCGTCATTCCCCGCCTCCCCTTAACGCTTGCAGCTCCGGCGGGATCCGAGGCTGCGATTGTATTGCTCTGCTCCGTTCTTCTCATTTCTTTCTAGCTTCTTTTGCGTCTCCGATCCCGGTCCCCCACCCTTCCTTTCTCTCGCCCCTACCCCACCTCACTCCATCTCGCTCTCTTTCTTAGTGTTTGTCTACGAGACAGAACGTGGAACTCAAGTACAGAATCGAGAATACTTACAGAATGGTGCTCCTTCTAAGATTTCCAGCTCCAAAAGTGTTTGATTTTTAAAAATGTTTCCTTCCTCAAAATTTTAAGTGAGAAATGACAATTGTTCGTTTCAGGAATATTCATTTCTGCCTTTCTTTTCCTCCCCTTATCTAATGAGGTTGAACTCTTGAACTGAGTCCAGATCTTGGCCTAGTGGTTGCCAAGAAATAGGGGTACCCTCAATCCTTCTCCCTGGTATATTGGTCTTTTTTGTGTGTGGGTTGAAGCAAGAATTGAGAGAACATGGATGGGGCACTTACTAAAACCATATTAGAAAATGATTGTGATCTTACATAAGCTTTCAAAGGTGAGGCAAGGATTTGGCCATTCAGGTGTTTCTTGAGTGCTCACTGCGTGTTAGACTCTGTTATAAATTGGCTGATAAAGCAAAGTCTTTATTGAGTTTACATTCATTCTACTGGAGATAGACAAGAAACAAAGGAGAAGAAAAAATTAGATAGCAGTTGTGCAAAGCACAATAAGCGAATGCCACGCTGACATCATGAAGGATGAATGGAGGAAAGGGAACCACTTTAAATCGAGTAGTTAGAGGAGGTCTCTCTGGGAAGATAAAATTTAAACTGAGACTTAAATGAAAAGGAGATACTAGCACAAATATTTTGGGACAGGGAAGGGTTTATCGTGCTCATAGAAATGAAAGGAGGCCAGCGTGACTAGACTACATGAATGAAAGGGAGAACCGTAAGAGAGAATATCGGACTTGTGATCAGGACCTAATCGGTAGGGCTCATAGGCTAAGGTAGGGTTTGGATGTTTTCTAAGTAAAATAATTTAGAGGAGTTTACGCTTTTATAAGACCATTCTGGCTGCTAGGTGGAAAGCAGGAAGGCAAACAGGGAAAGCATTTAGGAAATTCTGCTGTAGCCTCAGCAAGTGGAGTGGTCCTCAGACTAGGATTCATAGAGGTGAAGTTGATAAGAAGCAAATGGTCTCAGGATAAGTTTTGTAAATGAAATTGGTAGTCTTTGCAGAGATTG